TAGCCTTGATCAGCTGCGCTCCAGGACATCAGACCGGGGGAGGTTGGCTGGAGGACTTGGCCTCGAGTTGGTCAGTCGCCAGCGCCTCCAATCTATTTATTCATGCCGTGTTTATTTCTTCGGCGTTCCGGGCCGTTGACTGATGGTTTATTACTCCCCATATACTATACACAGCCGACGTGTTGGCCTTTCGGGCTAAGGTGGGAAAACCAAAAGGACTTGGCCGGATCGGCTCACTTCACTAATAGTAAGAGTAATCACATAAGCGGAACCAGTTGGCAAGGAAGGAGTCTCCCAGGGGGTGTGATTAAGTAAATTGGTTTGGAATATATGGTTAAAATATGTTCTTCTGAATAAAATCGTACCCTTATAAACAATATTACTTAAACTAACTTAAGCTAAAAAAAAATGAATTGCACATAAAATACTAGGTAATTTAAAATAACAAAATATCACATTTTTTAAGCATACTTTTGAACTTAGACTACCGTTCAAACTAATAAATCTCTTTAACGACACACTTTGTTTTTGTTGGTCACAAAAATGTGTATTATTATATTTATATCAGAGTAAAAAATTAATTTCTTTACCACTCTTTTAATCACTTATCGGATCATTTTCACTGACAGCTGGCATAAAAAACTTCCACTTAGTTTGCTCAATTAAATCCAAAAAATTTATAAACTTCAGCGAAAATAAGTTTCCGCCGGTTTAATTGCAAACTACTTAATCATTTATCCAATCACAGTCCACGGTCCGAACAATTGTTGCTATGGAGGCGGAAGATCCCAGTGGCGTCCCCATTCAATTAAAGTAGTTTCTGCTGATGCTGCGACTTTCTCCAACGCCTTAATGCAATTGAGCTACGAGCTGAGTCTGTATATTTATACACAAAAGAAAATCAAAAAGAATCTTTTCTTCCGATCAGATCTAATTAAAGCAAAGTGCAAACATATTTGTTTTAAAAATGTTTTAATATAATTTAACTTTTGGCTTATTAGATTTACATAATATTACAGAAGAACAGATAACCATGTGAATATAAAGCAGTTTTTGTAATAAAAAATGCAACGGAAAAAGACTGGGAATATTTTAAAAGTGTAAAAATATTTTTAATTTAAATTTATAGCTTAAATGTAATACTTAAAGAATATAAAATGGAATAAAATAAAAAATTTTAAACATTTTTTTAATAATTATTCGTACTTGTATGGTGGCCATTATGAAATGATACCCTTAATGGCCATCCTATCACAACATATAGAAACTGAAATACTTAAACGTTTTCGATCCACCTTCTCACAGTGTACCCGTATCTCTGGCCATGTCCATCGACCTCGGCAGGGGAGCATTTGACAGGCGTGTCGTGTTACCAGCGCCTTATGCCTGTCTCTGTGTGCTGCATTAGCCCGGCTTTATCCGAGCCACTCACACAGGGGCACATATGCTGATGGGGTGGTGAGACTGGGGAGAAAGTGGGGAAAGTCGGGGCCTCTGCCAGCCCTGTCACTTATGCAAAATCCCCTAATGGAGGCATGCCGAGGTGTAAGAAAAACAGCAAAAAGCGGAAAACTCTAGCATGGCAATGCAGCCTGGATGCTGCTGCTTTCCCGCTTTCTTTTTGCTCCTTTCTTGCCATTACATACAAATGCTCTTTAAGCGGATTTCGTAGCGTTTTACTTGTTTGCCATTGTTAAACTGAGTGCTCAGCATAAGGCTGCGACTCCCAGACGACCGCCGGACCAGCAGGATACTCGTTAGAGCTGAGCCGGTCCTCCTGGTTTTTCCGACGGTTTCGGGTCCTTCGGATGTGTGGCCAAAGGAAGGAGTCGGAATATTGTGTTTTAAGGGAGTACAGAAAATATCACAAGGTGTGGAAGAACTATATGTCGTGACTTTTATACAAATAATAGATGGAGGATAATGTTATATATATTATTATATTTAATAGATTTTTAATTTCTAATTTTTCTAATTTTAAATAGCAACATTTTAGGCATATAAGACTTTGTTTTATTATTCTTAGCCTCTCTTCGGCTTACAGGTAATGTTCTTTGTCGACCATGAAGCTAAACTTATTCCTAATTTGATACAAAAAATCAAAACTCTGCCGAAAGTGCTTAGGCATATTTTTCTTAACGTTTTCTTTGGGGCTTGTTGGCCGAAAAAAACCAGCGGGAACAGTTGGCAAACCCTTTTAATTATGCCGGAACATGCGCAAATATTTTTCTTATGGCCGCTTCACTCTTCGCTGCTTAACATTAATTAATTCTCGGCTCACGGAATGCTCAAGTGTGTGTGGATTGTTGGCCTGCTGACTTGGGGCCGGAAAAGTCAACGTTGGCTGCCCGATTTTTAATTAAATTATGGGAAAGTATATTTGCCTAATTTGATAAGAAATCCCTTAAGCAAAACATTTGTGGAAATGTATATAAGGTTTAAAAAGCATACGAATTTAATACCCCTGAGGGCGTACATTATTATTCTTGTCCCCTCTCGAACTCTAGTGGTATTACATAAGCTAGGAGTCGGGGACTTTCGCAGTACAGCCCATGAATTATTCCCCCATTGATCCCTATGTTCGACCATCAGCAAGTGGCGCAAATCAGGCGTCAACCTCCACCATTGAAATCAATCAAGTATAAGGCGCAGACGTTTGCGATTTTACGAGGCTAAGGCATCAGAAACAACGACAAGCAGTAGAAAGAAATGTCATAAAACTTATTTACTTAGCACCAGCGAAATGGTCCGCACAGAAGGCAGGTTCTCCTTAAACAAAGGGCAAGAGAAAGCGGCATAAAACGAAGTAAAAGCTGAGAAGAAAGCGGAAAGCAGAGTCAAGTCAACGAAAATGGGCTGTCAATAATCATAAAATTCCTGGGGAGCAAAAGTGGGGGAAAGTACCGATTCGGGGGAAAGGAGGCGAATGAGAAATGAGATCCCGGTCGATGAGCTGCTACTCGAATTTGTTAAATTGCCTGTGAATGACAAATATTGTGTTATAATTTCTATTACGAAAATTAAGCAGCGGCACCACATTGCGTATGCGCATTATTTAATTTGTCTAAGTGTTGTCGCCATAACGTAGTCCTGAAATTGGTCCATTTGGGGATTTAAAAAGACACTGCAAAAGCGGGCAGATCTTAAAGGCCTCGAACGGCGTCTAATGGCCAGTGACATAAGACATAAGACACAGACTGACAGCGGGGCCCAGACAGCTTTCAGCCAATCCCTCTTACCGTCCGAACGGAGGGCCTAACGTGTTTGGACATGGCCAAGAAGCGTAGACAAAGGCAGACAGAAGCGACTTCAAGTGGGTGGCAGACACAGCAGTGGTTTCTTTAATTTTGCAGTCCCACAACTTTCCCCTCCGCAAAAGCTTTATGAATTTTATATGCACCCGAAGAGTGTGCTATATGAAATTCAAGTTGTTTTGGGCCGAAATAAAAATGGAAAAGTTCGGTTTCAACCGAATTTTGTTGCCCACCTTCAGGCTTAGGCTGTGAAAGAAATCGATTCGCCATCCGATAAATACCTAAGTGATAAAATATGCAGAATAATATATCATGTCATAAGTCATTTAATTTGAAATCCTCTGAGGCTTAGATAAAAGTGAGCTAAAACTATTAAAGCGGTGTAATTGTTTTGCTTTTTCACCTCATCTGACAACAATGACTTGAAATTTATTCTTCAATGGTTTCACTTTATGTATTGCTATTAAAAGGCTAAGCCTTTTATTTTTATAGATGCCTTTCCCTGATAGATGTCTTCCATCGACAATAATTTTTCTAGAGCACTTCAACAAAGTTTAAAATAGAATATAAATGCCTTGCTGCAAATGCTGCCTTCAATTAAAACTTTCCACTCGCCACATGCGGCAGAAGGGAATAATATGAAATCAAGAGTCGCAATGAATAGTCGCGCTAAGGTTCGTTGGCTGGTCGTCTCCACAACTCATCAAAATGAGCAGCGGATACTTAATCTGATTTACTTGCCTCAGTCGAGTCAGAGCCAACAGGATAGCAGCCGAAGCTCTGGCAAACCGAGCAAACAAGCGTCTTCATAAAAAGCGACATCTCGACCGGGCCAAGAGGGTTTTCTGGGGATGAGTGGCAGGGGGAGGGGAATGGCGGCCCAGGACTTTGGCTGCCATGGGCGGCTCATAGCTGGCGTTCTGCGGCGTTGTGTACATCATAAAAGAGCGATAAGATAACCATGCCCAGCCACGACGACCGTGGCACTTGGCTGCTCGAAGCCCCCGCTTCACGACATCCTCTTGGCAGACTAAGACAGCCTTTTGATACCCTCTATATACTTGCTTTGGCTTACAGGATTAGTTTTACAGGATTTACATTTCTTAAAAATTAGAACATCAGAATATTACTAAAAAACAGATTGGTCTTTTATATTAGATATTAAATACATATATTAAAAAATAAATAGAAAGATTTATACATATGTATTAAAAGAATTAAATATATACCTTGGGAAAATAAAAAAAAATTAAACTAAATAATTATTTAAATAAAGATATTATTAAGATCATATCCGGACTTTATAGACTCTATAAAGCTTCGAGATAATAAAGCAACCAGCAACTTGATTGTACACTTAAGCCATATTGAAAATGGTTCTGACACAGTACACAGAGAGGAAAAACCAAGAACATTGTGATTGAATTGATCACATTCGTTCTTAAAAACCGTGTAAGCACAAATGTTCTTATTTTGATCCGAATGTTCTTGATTCTAGAACGAAATGGTAGGAACTAAAAAAGTGAAATGAGATGATTTCGTTCTATTTTTAAGTTGATTTTGGTTTTAATTTAAGAACATATTTGGATCAATATAATAACATTTTGATATTGATTTTATTTGAATTTGGGATCAAAAGAAGAACATTTTAGACTTGTAAAAGGAAAAAATGAGCTTAAATCGTTCTTGAAATAAACTAAATACTAGATTGAATACCCTTCCCAAAAAAACGCTAAAATAATAATATTTGGCTTGTAATAGTTTTTTACTTTTATTGAATTGTAATATATATGGGATATGTATATAATATGTGATTAATTACAGGCTTAAATCTCTTATAACATTAAGGTATATATACAAGCTTATAAATATTTAAATCTAAGGTAATGTTTTTTATTATTTAATAAGTATTTGTGTAAGGGTGCACTAGAGAAAGAAATTATATTTTTAATAAGAATAGGTGAGTCTTAATTTTCATTTTGCTTCTAAAACATGAAATTGAATTTAAAAAAAAGATATAAGTTTAAATTTTAAATTCATTTTTGGATTTTTATGTTTCTGTATATATTTACATACATATGTATAAATAAGTGGTTATGTATGTATGTAAGTACAAACACACGTGGAGACGAACGAATTTGTCTTTTCCGAATTCTTTAAAAAACACTTGCACTTAATTGCAGCCAAATTTCCGTATAAAAGCAAACACTTATACGAACATGTGTACATACCATACATACATACATACGTACGTTTATTTTAGCACAAAAAATGAGAGTAAAAGAGCTGATGAACTTAGGAATTTATACTAACCTTCAAGGAATTTCCTTACGGACTCCATTTTAATATCCTCCAGGAACTTTGACAACTGCTCGTCACTTTCACTTTCCATTACTTTAACTTTAAACTTTTGCAAACCAATCGATGAAATGTGCCAGCCGAATGGTTCAGAAGAAGAAGAGCAAAGTAGAAGGGTCTAACGCGTGCTTGCTGTTAACCGAAAGATACTAACGCGTTATAAAAAATCCGCAACACACCATTTCAAGTCGAAATGCAACTCACTTTTCGTTCTATTTTTTGTCCCTCCCGTTCTTACTTTAAGAACATATTGAGATTATTGGGTTTCTGAGAAGAAATTGAAATTGATTTAAGAACCACGTGAAAAATGTATAACATTTCGTTCTTGATTTGAGAACAATTTTGGTTTAACCAAATTTTAAGTACAAATTCAACTTGATTCAATCACAAAGAGAACATTTTGAGCTCAAAAAATGCCGTTCTCATTTTAAGAACATTTTCAACTCAGATCAGAACGTCAGAATTCTCTCTGTGTAGTTTTGAAGACCCGCTGCCTTCTAAGGGTATCCCCAGTTTAGTGAAAATTTCTCTCCTAGTGCTATATTTGATTTTCATTGCCCGGTGGCCTTGGTCCCTCCCCCACCAAACAACCGCCTCCTGTCCCTTGTTCTCCCCCCACTTCGTTTGGTTTCTGAGCTGGCAGCATCTTTAGTGTGATTTATTTGGGCAGAGCACAATGTTTCGTTTCAAATAAATCATAAATTTCAACGCACTGCCTTGCAGTACACAATTGTTGTTTATGTTGCCTCAGCTCCGGATTCTGCCACTCCCAATAATAATTTTGGCCCATCCTCTGGATTTTCCCCATATTTCTTCCAGCATTTTCAAGCCCGAGTTGCCACGTCTTCTGGCCTATGCCGCGTTGCGACAGCAATTGAGTTATCCAAAAAGGCTATCTAAACAGAAAGGAGATATATTATATTTATTGTATTTTTATGGCACTTGGGCATTTGGCCTAAGTCGTCCAGCGTTTTGTTTGTCCTGTTGAAAAATTTAAAACGGATCTCGACCCTCTGCAAGGCCGCAGGGAGAATTATGAGCCAAACGCGACTCGCATGGCTAAAAGGGGGTTGGGTGAGGGTGGTTCCTCCAGGGGGTGGCCCTCCATTCCAGACCGAGTTGAGATGGAAAACATGATTTGTGACGCTTTTTGTTAAGCCAGCTAGTCGAGTAAGATTTAGCTCGCCTGCAAGTTTGATTTACAGGCAATACTTCATTCTGTTTTCAAAAATTACTCTTGGAAAACTACGTTAAAATAGCGATCTCCAAAAATAGCTTTCAAGTTGTTTCCATATAAATTTAACTACTTTTTCTTTATTAAATTTATCACAATATTTTTCTAATTTCAACTAAAGCTCCATTATCCGCAAAATGACTCAAATGCGAGTTACTTCCTTTTCCTTATTGACCTCATCGACTTGAACCTGAATGGGAGTGCGATACGCACTTTGAACCATCATGGACACCAGAACCATTTCCACTAGGATAAGGATATTAATGATAGCTGAAATAGGAAGAATATTAAATTAGCATACATTTTTTAATTTCTTAGTTTTGTAAATGATCTAGAATCTGCTGATAGATAGGTAGAAAGAAACCACCAAGTAAAAAACTCACTTTGCTTGTAGATGGTATGGTTGATGGGATACTCCCCGCCCATTTTGATGCCATCCAGCTGATCGTAAAGAATCAGGTACTGCAGTTTGCACAACATCACCACCAGTTGGAGGCAGAACATCTTCTTCCTCAGCTGATAGTCGCCCCGCAGCTTGGTGATCGCCCGCACCGTGATTTGAAGGGACCAAACGCTGTTTTTGAATACAAACTAAGTTTAGAATATTTTAAAAATACACTAAAAGTAAATACTTACCCCAGGACAATGGAGCAGACGATGAAGGGGATGAAGAAGTACATGACCTGGTGGTACAGCTGAATGTCCCGGTAGTACAGGATGTTCATCACCAGCATGATGGACCCCTGCCAGAAGGGCATTTGCCAGACCTAAAAAATTGCGTTACACAAAATAATTCCAATTTATAAATCCTATTTTCCCACATACCATGTATCTGGAGATGCAGAGCTTCGCCTTGGTGGGAATTACCAGCGGCAGGCACAGGCAGCAGCAGCAGCAAGGTGGAGTATTAAGTTGCACCGCCTCGCCGCCCGTCTCCTTCACGTAGTTCTGCTCCGAGCTTACGTAACGGAAGAGCAGGGTACGGAACACCGGTCCTCCGACCATGAACATCACGTGCATCACCGTGTGGCAGGCGAACCAGGAGTAGGGCACCAGGATGGTAACCAGGGCAGCCAGCGAGATAATCGGATACAGACCGACCATTATAATAGAGGGCCTCAAGAGCGGGGTGTTCAGGTGTCGCCGCAGCCGTGAGACCGTCGTGGAGAAGATGCAGATGTTCAGGATGGTCAGCAGACTGGCTATGAAGATGGCGAGGCTGAGAAAGGCAGTCATGTCTGTAAGTGAGTTGGCAAAAACCCAATTAGTCGGGAGCAGCGGATGGGGTCCTAGGAAGCAACACAAACTACTTCTATAAGTCTACGAGTAAGTTAAGGTGGTTAAGGAAATTTGATTTGGTGTTTCATATACCTTTTTAACCTAAATCAAAGTACTGATGAACTTAGATTATTATTAATATCTCGAATCTCAAATTTAAAGTGCCTACACCCTGTAAAATATGATCTTTTTTTCTAACAACTTTAGATATGCCTGTAATAGGTGTTAATATTTTTGCCTAACAACTTTAGATGCAGTGTTAGGTAGGTAAATAAGTATTTGTATACCCATTCAATTTCAGTAACCCAAGGATCAGTTATGGTATAACAAATTTCTGTTTCGTGCAGTATATATATATAGTTAGATCTTGTACAAATCTTGTACTCACTTTCATAATACTCTTCCACTGTGGGGTGTGTTCGCTGGTTATGTGTGTCATTTTGTTGCAGATCCAAAGTCTGCGATATCTGTTCCGTCGGGTCCATCAATATATAGTCCTCGGTGGCATTCATCGTGCGGCTTTTGTAATTAAGGTGATAAATTCAAACTGGGGCAAGCTGGTGCAATACTTCCTGGTTTCCTTCGCTTAAGCTAAGACACTTCACTTCACATCTTTATCACTGTTCACACTATGCCAGTTAGCTGACTTTACACTTTATTAGCACTCATAGATGTATCTGAAAGTTTGCGTTTGCTGTTGTATATTCGCAATGTGGGTGCTGTCCAGAAAAATAGGGAACACAAAGAGAGGGGTTATTAACCGAGTCAGGTGAAAGTGACTGATTTGATAAGAAATGGAGACAATGCACTTGACTATATTCAAATTGACACGGCTTGTTTTGCAGAAATTAATAAAATATATTATAGTTAATATACGCTACACAAAAGTCTAGACGAGGTGTTAATACTCTCAAGCACGATCCCATGAGGAAAATTTACTTATTAGTGGTGAAAAGGAGCTCCGATGACACATCATCGTTTCATCTGAAGTTCCCTGAATCCTTTTCCAAGACCTTTATTAACCTTGAAAGGTTAAAACCCAACTGAGAAGAGTAACGCCGTTCGCTTCATTTTTATATGAGTATCCAAACACTCACGTGACAGCAAACCCAATCAAACTAATAAAAATTCACAATGATCTGCACAAAATTCATAGTTTGTAGACGGTATTCAAATGAAAAACTGCGTACCACTAACACAGACAGTCTCCAAAATTTCCGATCTGTGGGATATAAATAATTCATTGGAAGACAAACGAAGGCAGGAGATTAGAAACCCATTTTTTTTAATACATTATCAAATGCTCTTTAAAAATAAACAAACCTTTGCTGCAAAGTTATATTGTCTTCTCTGATAAAACCACAGAAGTTTGGTTGACCAAATTATTGTAGCTTTACAAAATTCCAGATAAATTTGAACTACTTGTGTTGAGAGCTCATTACCCAAAAATGTGCCTTTTCCATGCAACTATAATAAACGTAATTAAAAATTTCAAAATAGCTGGTGTTTGAGTTAACACGTTGAAAGAGCATATAAACCTCGTTAAGTCGTTGGCTGAAACTTAAGTCCCAAATAGCCCAGCTGTTTATAACTAGTCTGAGGAGACGAGCACGTGATTGGAGCCTTAGGCGATTGAAGAGAGTCCGTCCAGTATTTTGGAATAAAAGAGACCGAGTGGGGCTTCCAAACACAAACTGGTTTTCGAAAGCATAGGCAGGTAGCAGACCGGCCATACCAAAACAAATTTTACGAGTAGCTTGCCCCATTGCACAGCGCGTTATGTAATCTCTTTGTTATTGTCCATTCCCAAACTGGTTTTATATTTTTGCACAGTAATAACGCATACAACACCGTGTTGAAAGTGGCTGTAAACGCACTAAAAACATGATTCAACATCTCGCAGACCAACAACGACCTTCAGCTCTGCTCCGAAAACGTGTCAAAGTCCCCGCGATCTGACCTCAATTAAGTCTCAGACTTCAGCGTAATCCGAAGATGGGGAAGTGAGGTAGAATCATGTCTTATCGCCGACAGCCAGAGATCACAACCCATCCGACGATCCAATTTCGTCAGTTGGCGAAAAAAGAGCACATCCATAATTAATTTACAAAGCGCCATAAATCATTTTTCCAGTAATTAGCACAAAATTCGCGGATTCGTTTTTTGTTTAGCACATTCTAAGGTGCGTAAAACAAACCGCGAAAATAAGCGTCATAAATGTTATATAGAAGTATCAGCATAAAGTATATACATATTTTGGATGGATTTGGCACGCTATAATAAGCAAATAAAAATGTCCAAATAAGAAATATTTTTAGCTCTATAGTTAAAACGTGCTATAAGAGCAGAACCCTCTTAAAAACTAAAAAAATGCGGTCACTAATGTTATTAAAGACATTGACACCTGAGTAAACAAAAGTTTTATTTTTGTACACGAAATAGAAAATATTCATTAACGGTTTTCACAGCTTAATCTTCCATGGATACCCAAAAGATATGTTTGAAAAAATTTCCGGTTGAATTCCTACTTTTAAAAACAGTCGTTCTTTGT